ACTCAAGATCAACTCTGGCTTCTCCTTCTTTCTCAAGGAGGTAGGGAGGGACACTTGCACCAAAGGTTCCTTAAGAACATCTGGCCTGTCCTTACCAGGGCTGGGAAAACTATCTGCCCTACCCCTGATTTCCATGGCACAAAGTAGTGAGTATGTGCATCATGCAATGCTCAAGATGCCACAGTCAGATGTTGTCAATGACAACAGGTTCAACGACACCAACTCTCCTCTCCATTCTTGGGTTACAAAGCTGTTAAGCTAGTGAAAATTTTCTTCTAACTCAGAGTCCAGGTGGAAAGTCCGTCTCTCATCCCAAATGTAACCCTTTTTATTTTTCCCTATAACTAATTAATTGCAGAACTATTTATTAAGCAACAACCTCTTAAATCATCAATGACTTGCTAGACTCAAACCTCAAAATCATTAAAAAAAAAAAAACACCAGACTTGCTGGTTATCTAGAAACTGGTAGAACCTGAGATTATGGCCCTTTGTCACCCTTCAGGTCTTGAACTGAACTTACCCCGTAGGTTAACTTTCAGCCAAGCAGTAGATAGGTATACAGGGGGGAGTACAACTCTAGTGAGGTATGCACACCATAGAATGGTCAACTATTTGAGATCAAAAGGGCAACATTTACCTTACGACAAAGTTCAGAAGGGTTGGGAAAGAAGAATGGAAATAGGCAGGAAGTGGGACACATGATTTTACACTGGGGGAATTTCAGTCATTGAGATGACGTATATGATTTGTTGAGTGTAAAACTGATGATCTGCTCTGTAAACCTTCACTCAGTTCACAAAAAGTTTTTAAAAATAATTTGTTATACTTCAACAATGTAATCAATTCAATAATCAGCTGGGAAATCAAGAGCAATCAATAATTTTGGATTATTAGCAGCTCCTTCCCTCTCCCATTTACTCTCTTTCCTTTCAACTTGAGTGAGTTTTTGGAATCCTGAACTCACAAATGTTCATACTTGTATCTTCCCTCTTGTCAGTGTGACCTCTAGCATATCAAATCATTGCCCTTGTTCTAGGCTCCCAGACAAACATCTACCATACATCTCATTAATCAGATTTGTCTAGCAGACTAGTGTTTTATCAAACAAGTATCTCTGAGGGCAATTTGTGTATCAGTCTTTCATGTAAGGTGTGGGTGACTTTTATCACTGGGACTTTTCTATAGCTAAGTTAACCACAGGAAAAAATTTTGAGTGGAAGATGGAAGGGCAAAGGGGAAGAACGTGATCTCAGAATCTGTTGCCCTTCAGAAGAAGAGAAGGCGCTTCACCATGAGGACAGAAGGCAGTGATGGCATTATACACAAGATTAGGGAAGCAGAGGCACTGGCAGCCAGGACTCAGAGACAATCAACATGGAAAGATGGGATGGAGACAGAGAATGGGAAGGAATAGCAGAAAACATTTTACAGACTTGGTAATTGTTCCAAGTTCCATATCACTTTTATATACTTCATGTACTGGTAACTTGTCGTGGAGAAGGAGAACCACTTCATCACCACTCTAGCCTGGAAGGGATGCTCATAATCCAATATCCTAGCTTCAACTGGTTCTCACTAAGCCCAGTCTGTAATGACATAAAGAGAATGTCTAGGAGAAAGGAAGCTGAGAGAACCACAGGCACTGGCAAGGGAAAATGAGGCCATCAGTGCTTGTCTCACAAATGGGAATCCATTGAACCTCACTGCAGTCCAAGATGGATTCACCCAAGAAACTACAGAAAAAGAGAATAATGGGTGTAGAAGCTTTCCTCTTCATTTACATCCGTTACTCCAACTCTTTCCTCTTCTCCAGTCTTAACCTTGGTTGATACTGAGCATCTCACACCCAGCATTGTATTTAATTTGCTTTTAGCAAATGCTGACTCCACACTCCTCAACACCCAAGAGCTACAAGGTATCTGGGCTTTAAAGAAGCTTGTTCCCTGCCTTCTCCAAAGTCTTGTAGATGAACATCAGGATCCCAACATTGATGTTAAATCTTAAAACCATATCTTAGCAACACCCAAAAATACAGATTCCGTAGAGAAGGAACAACATTAGTCAAGCACTCTAGTTCTCCCTCACTTCTCTCTGGGTGTGAGTAGCTCAGCACCAGTGAAAGTTTAGACTGGATGAGGGAAAGAGTCAAAGGACGTGAACCAAGAGAAAAGCTTCTAAACCCATTATTCTCCTTTTCTATCATTTCTTTTAAGAGTCCACCTTGGACTCTTACAATCAGTGAAGTTAAATGACTACTAGGCCTTACCATCTATTTAAAGATTTTGTAAATCTTTACAAAAGCAGATCATCAGGTTTGTCTACCATGGAGTGGCTGGTAGGTTCCAATGCTATTGCACAATCAGGGCTCCTTGAAATGACCATATACACACACACACACACCAAATGCCTTTTTTCTCTTGTATAGACAAGAACTATTGAAACACAGTAGGCTCCAACCCAGGTAAAAACTTTAGACCTGAATGAAAATAATCCCATAGGATCAGCCTGTATGTTATAAAGTTAGATTGAAGATGAATATTCTGGGAGGGCTGCAGAAAGTCCAAAACAGAATTGCCCTTACTACAAATATCTAAGGAGCCCTGATGGATTGATTGCACCTTAAGCTGCAAGATCAGCAGTTTGAACCCACCAGCCACCCCATGAGAAAAATATGAGGTGGTCTACTCCTGTTGATTAGGTGGCAGTGGGTTTAGTTTGGCTTAGATGCCCCTGGACTGACTACTAAAATATCTGGAGTCCTGGTGTGATGCTGTAGGATAAGCACTGGACTGCTAACTACAAGGTTGGCAGTTGTAACCCACCAGCTGCTCTTTGGAAACCCTATATAGAGTCACTATGAGTTGGAACCAAATTGACAGCAATTAACAACAACAAATATCTAGGCAACTGGAACAGAGATTCAGTTCAAAGTTTGCTGAGGCTAAATTGTCTTGGTTTTGGTTGGGCATTATCTCATCAAATTTCTCCCGCCATGTATTAAATTCAGGTAGTATCTAAGCAAGATGCTCTGGTGATTCAGCAGCTAAATTTCTAAATGGACAGGAGAAAGAGATGTGTTACTTAACTCAGTGCAACTTTGCCTTTCAAACTTGAGTTTAATTTATGTCATTATTAATTTACTGCCACTACAGGATAGCCATTCTTAACACCCTCCATATGTCATTTTATAAACAATGACTTCCTTATTCTCCACAATGTACTTCTGCTCCCTCTATGATATTAGAATTACTAGCACAAATTGCTGTACATGAGATTACTCACACAATGATGATGCTATATGACCGTGGCCTTCACCCAGTGCATTCATCAAAAGTATTTCACATTAAGCTTTTAATATACAATTAGAAACTTTTCCTTCAATTGTATGGTCAAATGCACTAAAAAGAATTTTCTGGATTTGCATTCTTCTGGTTGACTTGAAATGTATATATGAGATTGTCTCCTATATGAATAAATCAGAGAACAGAGCTGGAGGGGGAAGGTATAAATTGATTAGTTGCCCCACCTTAGGAAAATGAAGGCAAATGCTTATCTTCCTTAGAATTGTTCCTATAAAAGTCAAAAGCTCCAAAATTCAGTGCCACACCAGGAAACAGTAGCATCTCTCTAGGGCCAGTATCACCAAATCTTAATTGTTCTCTAATACTTTGTAAGCATACAACCTAAGTGTCAAGTATATGCTTGTTGAACCTCACAATGAATATGAGCAGGCCACTCCCAACTAGTCTTGAGGAGAAGAAACTGTGTTGAAGTTTTTATTCCTAGCCTTCCTGTCCCACAAGGCATGGCACACAGTAGGTATTCAATAATCATTCATTGATTTCTCATCTTCACAACACGCTAAATCCAATGGACGCAAATGGGAAACAAGTGTGAAAACATTTTTCACTGTAGAAATAGAGTACATGTTGAGAAATTGGCTGTGGGGTAAAAAAAAAAGCACAAGTATGAAGGTCATCTGGATATAGAAAAATTGTAGTGTGAAAAAACTACTGCACCTAAAATGCTCACTGTTCATATTTATCAGATAATGGTGAACAATTTTTAAAAGCAAGATTTACCAAATTGGACTTCTTTGTTTCCCTCATTAGCAGTAGAGAAGGTCTAATCTTCTTTGATAATCTATTCAAAACGTGAGGGTTTTAATTTTTTCTTTCCCCCTCCTTTTCTTTTTCACCCTTTGACTATGATCCACTTAGTCCCTATCGCCAAAGCGCCTCCCAAATAACAGCGAGGGGAGCACTGTGGGAAGCCCTTGTTGAGATACTCAGCGGAACTTTGTTCTCCACATGAGCTATTGAGAATGGTCTCCGTTTCCTTGGGTAACTCCACATTCTCCCTTGCTCTTCTCACGCTGCCAACAAGAGTTAGGGTGGTGAGAGTCTCCTAGGCGGGCTGGATTGGCGCTGACCATGGTGCTGGCCTCCGATCTTGGGACCAGAGCGCGAAAGGCACTGGAGAAGGTGCAGCCAGAAAGCTCCCAGGGCCGGACAAGGAGTGGCGGTCGAAGCCCAGACCCTTTCCGACCCCGAGGGAACTCACGGGCCTTCACGCGAACCCCTCCTCTACACGCTCCGAACTGCATCAAAAAAGGGTGGGGCACCCAACCACAGCTGCAATCGGAAGCCGCCCAGAAAGATTTAATAAGAATGAAACCGCGGCCCAGCCCCCTCCACGCGACCTCGAGCCACGGATCGGCTTGTCCTTTATCCCCCTCACCCCCGCCCCCACCTCCCAGGTCCAGTGAGGTGCGGGCAGTCTTTGTGGGCGTACAACCGCCCACCGACGAGCCTCTCCTCACCCTGAGAAGAGAAGGGGCGGGGTAGGGTGGGGTGTGTGTGCAGATGCAGAGAGGCAGTATTAAAAGAAGATCAGGAAAGAAGGTATCCTCCGATTCTCGAGTCTCCACTGGGCTGGGAGGGGGAAGGCAACTCCCACGCTCCCGGTCCTTGGTCTTCACCGCCCTCCCATACCAACCTGATCGTAGATGTTCTGCAGGGCTTCCTTGCCTGAGGCTCGCCGGATCTCCACCTTCCGGCCCGATTCAACAGATGGCTCCCCGCCGGCACGCCGGCCCTGCCGGGAGTACGGCGGCTGCGGGTCCGGGCCCAAGTGGGCAACGTCCCGTTGCTGAGCCACCACCTGCCCGGAGCCCCGGCCCACAGACAGCGAGTCGAAATCGATAGTCTTGTTCTCCGAGGACCCTTCCACCGGGCAGAACATGCCACAGAATTTCTGTCGGGGCTTGGGGCTGCCTGAGCCCAGGTTTTTAAAAAAGGCAGGGACCTCTTCGTCCTCTGCCTGCTTCCCAGATTGCTTTTTCTCCGCCATGGCGCGAGAGCTTGGGGAAGGGTCTTCTCCGTCCGTCCGTCTGCCAGTCCCTACGTCTCCCTCTATCTGTGCAAAAACCCCTTGGCTGCTGCCGCGGCTGATGGTTTCTGCCTACCGCAAGGTGTACAGAAAGGAAGGAGGGCTTTCAAGCGGGCTACCCACCCCTCCCAGCCCCTCCCCCTGGCCCTTCTTTCTGCCCCTCCCTGTCCACGCCCCCCACTGCCGCGCGCGCTCGGGCGAGCTGCAAAGTTCGACGGTGGAGGGAGCCGCTGCGGCAGTGGGGGCATAGAAGCAGCCAGTTCCCAGCAGCAGCTTGAGGAGGAGAGGCGCGGGCGGGGCAGGGGGCGGGGCGGGAGCCAAGGAGGGGAGGGGAGGGCCGCACCACCCAGAGCCCTGCGCTCCGGAAGTGAAGCGGCCAGACCACCGGCTAATGGATGCAGAGCGGAGGGCCTGCTGACCGCTCTCGGGCGCCAGTGTAAGTAGGGGGCTTGGGTACGCGGAGGTGAGGACCCTAGGATTCGGCCCTTGGCCCTCCACACCCCTGCCCCCCACCTGCCTCGCTCAGGCGCCTGTTCCCCACTGCATTGCAGAGGTGGTCCGGGGCTCTTCGGCGTACCGCGCAAAGATATTCCTCCCCTTACCCAGGGTATGAACTAATGGTTGGGGAAAAGGAGACAAGTTGCAAGACATCAGGACAGCCAGGGTTGGAAGGTGCCACTGGAGGTGGGGAAAGGATGGCGCAGGCAGTGCGAAGAGCAGAAGGCCATCCGAGGCAGTGTAAACCAAGGCCTCAGTTTGCGCACGGGCCTGGGTCGGTTGCAGAGAGCAAAGATTGACGAGAACATTACTACTGGATCCATCGCCAGCGTTGGGGGACGCACAATATGGCGGAGAGAAATATGGAGGGACGTAGCAAATAATATCGAGAGAGTTAAGAGCCCTGGTGCTCTAACTGCTCAACGATTAGCCCAATGGTCGGGGATTCAAATTCTTTAGCTGACCCAGGGAAGAGAGATGTGGTAGCCGGCCTCCCTAAAGATTTACAGCCTAGGAAACTGTGGGGCACTTTTACAGCCTAGGAAACTGTTGTGGCGCTGTGGATTAATGTGCCAAACTGCAAAGTCGTTTAAACTATAAGATCGATGGTTCAAGTTCACCAGTCGCTCCTTGGAAACCCTATACAGGGCCGCTATGGGTCGGAACCGACTCGGTGGCACTTAACAACATAGGGTCGCTAGAAGGCAGTGGACTTTTGGTTTGTTTTCAGAGAAACGTAGGCCTGTGATCTATAGAAGTGTTGCGTGGAGCGTAGTCTGAAAATTTCGGCGCAGCCATTTGTAAGGCAGAGAGGATTTTGGTCTATATTGCCTGGGGGCACCAGGTGCTATTTCTGCGCCACTGCGCCAAGAAGGGTCAAAGAGAGTGCCTTGATTTGATAGTTTACACCCCCTCTCACCAAAGAGAAAAGCACAGAGATTAAAGCTCATTCACGAAGTCTTCAGCCCCTCTCTGAGCCCCAGGCGCCCCGCCTTGTCTTCCCCGCCCCTGTTGCGCACTGCGCCACAGCCAGGCCAGACGCTGCCGTGTGCCTGTGGTTGTAGAGCGCACGCTTTCCACGGGAGCTAGGGGGTGGGATCAGTGCTGTGGGAGAGTGCGGAGAATTGTGTGGGAACTAAAAGGGCTATAGTGTGTGGGAGCGTGGTGCACATATGCCGGTGTTCCAACCATGATTAGCGGGCTGGTGGGCATTCAGGTGGCATTTTGATTTGTGTCAGCAACAGTCATTGCTTACTCCCTGTGTCCCCTCCTTTCCGTATATCATTTTTTGCCTCTAATCAAGCGCAGTCGCGCCTCGCTTTGGAGGTTCAGAAGGGAGATCTGGGCATGCTCAGTAATAACCAGGGTGGGTTTGGGCTAAGAGGCAGTTTCCCTGCAGGGCCGCTGCACCAGGCAGTTTGTGCCAAGGATTCAGTCCCAGTGTCAACTCTTGCACCTGGAAAGATTGAATGCAGATTCCCCACCCCCACTGTGAGTGATGGTTTGATTAATAGGGTTAGATTTGGAAGGCAGCTAGTCACAGTCCTCATAGCTGGAAAGAAATCTCTGAATGAGAGAAAATAAAGAAGGAGAGGTAGGCATTCTGGATTTAGCACCAGATAGAATTTGAATGAAGAGCCTTTACTGAATTACATCATTTCCTACTCACAGCAACCCTGTTAGATGGATGGAACAGGATTATTGTCACTATTTTCCAGGTTAGGAAACTGAAACTTAAAAAGATTAAAGGACCTTACCTAGGGTCATGTATCTAGTTAATAGATAATAACAGTTCCCCTGGAGAGTCTGCCACCTAAAAGTCTAATTTTTTTTCCAATTCATATAATGGTTCTGTTTGCATAACACAACATGAGGGTTTTTATATTTTCCCCCCATCTCTCAGTGTTTGCTAACTTTTTATTTAAAAGTCATACAAACGTAGGAAATGCAGGCAAGGACTCAGATCCTTGGGATAGGGGTAAGGTAGTATTTTGTCATACGGTCCTCTGGCAGTTACAGGGCACTTTCAGCACCTCCTTGAAAGACTTCAGGCATATGCCTGCAACAGGAGCCAGAGCTGCTATGCTAGCTACAGTATGGACCTCACTCTGATTGACGGAAATTTTCATGCTGGGGGAAAACTGATTGTAGCACCCTAACATGTACCAGGTACTCCACCAGCAGCAACTGGGAGGCATTAGGAACTCTTGTTCCTGCATTCCACAGGTTCTCCAGGGCAAGCTCAATAGATTTGCTTCTTTCTTCCTCAAATGGTGGTGGTGGTGGTAGTGTGCCGTGGAGTGAGTTCCGACTCATGGCGACCCTGTATAAGGGTTTCCGAGGCTATAAATCTTTACAGGAGCAGAAAGCCTCATCTTTCTCCCGTGGAATGGCTGGTAGTTTCTAACTGCTGACCTTCAAGTTAGCAGCCTGGATCGAAGTAGTATGCTAATAACTCTTCACAAAACAACAACAAACACCAAAGCCTAACCAGACATAACAACAACAAAAAATTTTAATCCATAATTCCATGTTTAAATTACTTGACCCTAAGAGTTTCTTGTTCTCTATCTTTGCATTAAATTATTTTACAGTGTTTGAACAATTCTTAATTGCATTTTCTTTTTCATCAAAGAAGAAAAGCAATTCAATAGCTATTTAGTGTTGTTGCTGTTGTCAAATGCTGTCTAATTGGTTCTCACTCATAGAATAGGGTTTCCGAGGAGCAGCTTATGGGTTTGAACCACTGACCTTGTGGTTAGCAGTTCAGAGCTTATTCTACAGTGGCACACCAGGACTCCAGCTGTGTAATAGATCTAACTAAATTACAAAAAAACTGTCATGTTTCTAATAGGTGTAGTAACTGCCTTCTTCACTGGATATTATTGAACTGTAACAGCACTTTATTATTGTTTATATGTAACAGGGCATCTTGGTTTGGCTGGAGCTAAGACTCAGACTCAACACTGTGTGGAGTTGGGTAACACCTTCCTGTGCTACAGGCTGGATACACTCTTGGCTCTCACGGAACAGTCTGGAGCATACGAGCAGGTATCTCGCCACATCTCTTGAGTCCACCCTTGAATTGTGTCCACAATTAGGGTTTAGATATTGACATGTCTGATGTACATATGGTAGAGAAGCTAGATTGCAGAGCATCCCTAGGTAAAAGCAAAAAGAGTCATTCAAAACAAAGACAAGATCTGACAGAGTGGGGTAGACACAGGCACAATGTAAAATAGAATCCCAGGTTTATCCTCACTTCTTTCCCAAACTGCAATATATATTTTTCTTGAGAAGGAAAGGACCGTGTGGTAAAACTGAAAATTGTTTCACTAGGAGGAATCCAGCTATTATATTGTGAGACTTCTCTTCCAGCATTCCAGGTGTCAGAGTGGAAGGTGTTACACCGCTAACTAGACGTTCCAGGTGCCTCGGTGATCAAAGAAGGGTTAGGACCACCACGTGGCTGCCAACATCATTGAGAGAAACACCAGCTAGAGGACTGCAGTTATCATCGGCAGTGGCTCTATTATAAGTGAGACACAACCCATCCATCTTGGGTCAGTTGTACAGCTATTACAGGAAGTATACATTAGGATTGCTGGTCCAGAAGACTTAGAGTGACCTGACCCAGGATTCAATCTGTAGGTCACCCAAGATTTTGTTTAAATCTAAGGCAGTGCAAATCTGCACCACAAACTAGTTGATACCCTTAAGAGTTAGAGTGAGACGACATTTGGGACAATGGCACTAGCACTGCTAGAAGACTGGTGTGGGATAATGAATGTGGATACTCAGAAGTCACTGCTGGTTCTGGGGATACCAGTGGACTGTGATGAGGCTGAGATTCAGGAGGTTCTGCAGGATAATTTAAAGTCCCTGGGCAGGTACAGACTGCTTGGCAAAATATTCCGGAAGCAAGATAATGCCAATGCTGTCTTGTTAGAGCTTATGGAGGAGCTCGATACCTCAATGATCCCCGGTGAAGTGCAGGGAAGGGGTGGTATCTGGAAAGTGGTCTTTAAGACCCCTAACCAGGACACTGAATTTCTTGAAAAACTAAACCTCTTTTTAGAAAAAGAGGGGCAGACATTAGCGGGTATGTTCCGAGCCCTTGGGCATGAGGGAGTGTCGACCACTACTGTCCCTTCCATATCACCAGAGTTACTGGCCAATTTGGTGGGACAAGCGATTGCACATGCACCTCAGCCTCTGCTACCCATGAGATACCGAAAATTGAGAATATTCTCAGGTAGTGCAGTTCCAGCCCCAGAGGAAGAGCCCTTTGAAATCTGGTTAGAACAGGCCACTGAGATCGTCAAAGAGTGGCCAGTAGCGGAAGCAGAAAAGAAAAGGTGGTTAATGGAAAGCCTGCGTGGCCCTGCCCTGGACCTCATGCATATAGTGCAGGCAGACAATCAGTCCATAAGCGTGGAGGAGTGCTTGGAGGCATTTAAGCAGGTGTTTGGAAGCCTGGAGAGCCGCAGGACTTCACAGGTTAGGTATCTGAAGACTTATCAGGAGGAGGGCGAGAAAGTCTCTGCCTATGTATTACGTTTAGAAACCTTACTCCGGAAAGCTGTCGAGAAG